GCAGGCATTTAAACACTTAAAAACAACAAATTTTCAGAAGCAACACTTTGAAAATTGGACCACATCATCCTTAAGATTGTTTACGTTAAATTTTTGCATCATAAAGTTCAGGATGACTTTCTGTACTAAAGATGTGAACATGGATTGATGCAGAGGATTAAAACCAAAGATAAACTAATAAACTTATCTTTTTGAAAACTATACAGTTTGCAAATTGTCTGTTTAATTTTCCTTTTCTACGATATTTCATTTTGATTTGATTCTAATTTAAATCTTTTGTTTTTTCTATCAAAAAATGTAACAAAAATTGCTGGTTATGACAACCAGGTGGACATACTTTTATATTAGGGGTTAATTAATGCCTAAAATTTCCATTTTTGCTTTCACTACATAAGTTTAATATCTGAGCTTAACTCAGTGTCGGAAAATGCTTTATTCCTGTGGTTAATAAACACCATGATCGTCTTTCTTCATTTGTATTCCTGTGGTTAATAAACACCATGATCGTCTTTCTTCATTTGTTTTCCGTAGTGGGTTTGTGTGAAACCACAAGATTATATTTTCCACCTTTTATATATATACAATTTTACACTTTGTCCTTCATTGTTCAAACATTTGATAATTAGCCCTAATATCCGAATGTAATTCGGGATTTTGAAAATTTGGTCATTTTTTATTGATGTTTAGCAAATGGAATACGACCCAATTTTAAACTGGAACTGCAGAAATTCAGACCCAGCACCAGAGGAGTTTAAAAGAAAGCTGCCTCGCAGGAAGAAACAACGAAAACCTGTAGCAGTACAATCTTTGTCAATGGACGACGGGTTAAATAGGAATCCTCGCAATTTTCCCAATTTAACCCAAAGATTGGAACTGCAGAAGTGCAGAGAAACCAAATTGGATACGGAAAATCCAAAATATATAACGAGTTTAAAGTACTCAATAAAGGAAAATTATAACAGATGGAAACTGCCATCGTTCCTTGAAGTCGTCAATTCAATGACAATGGAAAAGGCGATGATGCCTATCGACTTCATAACCCAGCCAGAAGTGGTTATAAAGAACGAAAACAACTTCTGGAAATTAAAGAAGAGGGAGGAACACGGCTACATCCTCAAGGCAGGAGGCACGCAAGTCACCATCCCGTTCGAGGGAATAACTGCTTTTCCGAACCATATAAAAAACAGACAGGAAGAACAGGACGACATTCAACAACTTACGGACGGAATGAGCAGACTACGAATCAAAAACAAAATTAAAAAGAAGAAAATCGTGAAGTTGCAACAAAAACTTGAGGCTTCACAGAGGAAGATAGCGATCCTCAGATCATACAATGTGGAGCTAGAAGCCGGAAGGAAGCTCTAGATAAAACCTAACCTATCTTTTCAAACTTTTCATTTGATGTTCTTTTTAAATTTTTTAACTATAGTATTTAACCAGTAAAGTGTTTAAATTTTCACCATGGTAACTGTAAGAATCGAACAGCTTAATTTTCTAAAAAAAGGGGTGAGTTGTAGTATTGCAAAATACTACACACACACAAAAGACCATTGTCTTAATTGTTTATTTAACTACCCAATTCTAAATTGGAGCGTGCCATTCAAATTAAAGCCTCTTTTCACTAAATCAGATATTGACTGATTTACTCTTATTAGGACTATAAAATCTTGTTTTGAAAATCCACTCCTTTTTGAATACTTGTCCAAGTTTTCTCATTTTTTCATACTCAATATTTGAAAAGGGCGGCGATTATTAATACGTCCCTTTTAACTTAACTTGAAACAAACTGGATAAATATTTAGCAGTCTCGCCGGCTGCACTGAAATTCTCCTTGCTTTGATTAAGCAGAGGTGCACCTGCAATATGATGCATCAGAGAGAGTAATATGAATTTTTAATAAGACAAACTGAAGGCTGCGGTTTTCATCAAAGGGGACTAATAAGTTGAAGATATTTGATTTGAAAAAATCAAATAAAAACTAGTTGAAAATTCCCTTATTAAAAAGGGAGAACAAAGGAGCAGGTGAAACCTGAATAATTAAAGATTGAATCAGCCGCCGGTTTATGCTTACGAGCAAAAGGACTGGCCTGAAATCTTCAGTGTTTCATTTTGCTCAGTAAGCAGCAAGTCAGTTCTCTTCAGTCAGATCTTTTAAAAATAAATAATTTTCCTTTCTGCCCTAACACTAAAATTAATCTAGCCTTTTTCACTTATAAAAAAAGAATAAATTCTCATTTCAAGTTCGATAAAATTATAAGTCGAGATACTCGAGATACGCACCCCCGAGGAAGTCTGGACTAAAAGTACCCAAAGGACTACGGCAAGACGATTCAGACGGCCCAACCAGAAGTGCTGACTTGGACAAACATCAAAGGCAACCATACATACTAATCAGCCACCGACCTTAGTAAGAAGATAAAATATTGATGAACAAAATAAGATTAGCTCAACCTCCCCTCATAGGTATATTTCTTTAAGCTGTTCGATTCATTTATATAATCTAATAACCCAGTGCTCTGTATCTAACCAACTAATTAATTCATACCTTTTCTAACTATTGTTTCTACTCTAATTTTTGTCAAGACAATTTGACGATCTAAGGTGAGACTTATAATTTAGGATAAAATTACTAAGCATTCAACCAGCAATGAGCGCTTAGTAAAATACGTATGGGAGGCTTCAGAGTCATTTCACGTTTCAATTTATTTTTCTTTTGATCCGAGCGGAAAAGGTTTAATGGGATTGTATTTGGTTCATTTTTGCTTTGTTTTGTATGACGCAAATACACTTTTGCAGGTTTTTAATCAAGAAAAAATAGCAACAAAGACTATGTCAAGCAGGTCTTATAATTTCAAAAAACATTTGACCTGAAAGGGTTTTGTTCCTTTACCTTCTTTCCTTAATTGTCTTTTTTGTTCTTTAATGTTTTCTTCTAATATCTTGGTGGTCCAAACTTTGAGTAGATTGTTGTCAGAGGTTCGAAACCACTTTAAAGGTAATAATTGAATTTTGGAGATCAAAGGTGCTAATGCTGCGGCAATAGATTATCGAATCTTAAGTCCACTGAAAGTGAAGTAATTTAAAAAGTCCCTTTCGTCATCTTTGTGTAATTTCATCGTCTTTTGAACCATGTACACCTACCTTTAATTTCGTTTGCTTGGACGTTTTTGGTTGTTTTGTTGTTTTTTCTTGATTTGACTTAGAGCGCCCCTCAAACGCCTTTTTCAGCATTCATCTTGTCAAAGCGCTCTCGCCGAAACAAACAAACAAACAGTTTTAATTTTGCACTCTTAATCTATCTCTCACCTATACTTTATCTTAAAAAACTCTCCTTAATTTTTCGCTTTTTTTGTTTACAAATATAAAATAGCAGTTTTCTTTTATCTGAGCTTCATTGAAAATCCATTGTTTTCACACCAAATAGAGAAGAGATAAAAATCTAGACGCCAATCAAAACATTTTTTTTCTTAAATTGGAAAAAGCGAAATCTTAATTGACTTTTATTCCTCTCCTCTGAGCTCTAAGTGATCGTTTTTTTATTTTCCATTTGTTGGTTCGAATGGGACACTCATATTAGATGAATGGCCGATTGCAGTAGCTCAGATCCAGGCAAGTTCAGGTCTAGTTCATTGTAACATACAGGATCACAAGCCGCAGGGAGCCATTTTTTTTTGTTGAAGCAAACAGTGGCTGACAACTGTAGTGTTTTTAAATCTTTTAATGCGAGCTTTTGGATTTACAGTCTTGTTGAAAAAAGACGACATTTTTGGGGTTGCTAATTCTGATGGCAAGGTACAATATAATGTCCGAACAACACAAGTAAAATTTTTTGCGTACAAACATCACAAATACAAGTTTTAAAAACAGTGAAAAGCTGATTGCTCTGTCTGTTTACTTTTATTGAGTTATTCGTGTAAATAGTATAAAAACTACGAAAGTCATTGAATTTTTCATCATAATTTGTATTTAGAAATCATTAAAATTGAATTAAAATAACTTTCGAGGAGTACAAAACGAGATTATTATGTTTGTGTATTTTCAACAGCGAATTTTTTTAATCAAGTTGATTGTTTTTCTTACAAAAAAGATATCACTGCCGTGGTTCATAAACGAATGATTCCCATAAGAAAGAGTCCAATACAAACAACAACCCAAAAAAAATATGCAACGAACAAAAAACAGTTCGATACAAAACAGTCCGAGTTAAGGTCGCCGATGGGCGCGTCGCAGCTTTGCAGCTTCGCGTCGATAACCGGATCTAATTTTTGTATAGAGCCCTACCCTCTGTTGGCATACCCTCTGATAGTTATTTGGAAGTTGAAATTATGAAAGATTCCGGACTAATTAGAAAAAATTGCTGGCATCAAAAATCGCCGGTCATGCAGTTTTCGTGAAGGAAATTTCATAAAACGCATCTTTTATTCTTCAGCATCTTTTCATAATAGTTCTTTTGTTCTCATAAAAAAACATCTTTTAGGTCGATCAGAGAAAGAGAAACATTAGCTCCCAGAGAGACATATAGACCTTATTTTGACATTGTTTTCTGTGCCGCTGGCAAAATTCATAAATAAAAAACAATTCACGAAAGTTAGTATTTTGGCACCAAAGGCTCATTTAGAGAATATTTAGGGTTGCTCGCCAAAAATTGATGGCAAAAAGGATGTCATGAAATAATACCGAAGGGTTAAGGCGGAGCAATTTCTCAATTTTAGACCTTATGAGCAACAAAACACTTCGATTTTCTGCCCCTCTTGTTATGCTTTCAAACGTTTTGAAAAGCTGAAAAAATTCGGTGAAAAATAGATATTAAAAACTATCACAAAAATGCTCCATGGTTGATGAAATACTCCGGAATAGGCATCTGAAAGCTTCTCATTAACCAAGCCTTGATTCGCTTAATGGATTCTGATTTGTATCCGCCCCGCTATTGGAAGAGTTTTTTTTCGAATTGACGGGTTATTTGATTTTTGAGCGAGGATTGTTATGAGATTACTTTTTAGAAGTTGCGGCAGACAGCGAGGAACCCTACTACAGTACTATGGCTTCAGTGGTCATAATCTGTGTGGCCATACTTCTCATCATAGTGACCATAATCGGCAACCTGTCAGTGGTGATCGCCTTTTTCCAGGACAAGCGACTGCAGACTCCCTCCAACTACCCCCTCATATCTCTGTCTGTCTCTGATCTGCTAGTCGGCTGCTTCATATTTCCCTGTTCCGTAGTTTACAAAACCACTGGTAAGATAAAAATCCAATCAGGCCTGCAGTTAATTTTCACAGAAAGGAGAAGACATTCTTTTCACCAATACTTATGATGATAATCATAATAACTTGTTATCAAACCAATTATATAACACTATACTTATATAATTAGTCTGATAAAAACATCTGAGAAAAATCGAACAATGATTTCTTTTTTTTGTGTTCTTACAAGTAATTGATAAAAGCTGATGAAAAATTGTTGGGTTGTTGGTTTTGTTCAAAAATTTAGTTTTTGTTCCGATTTGTTGCTTCCTTGTAGTTTACGAGTTGCCTTTTGTAGCTAGTTGTCGTATTATACCGGTTTGGTATAACTCTTCTCGAACGACAATTTACAAGCTGAGCTACACAATATTATGCAAAGCAAGTAATCAGAAAGTGAATACTTAATAATCAGTCCACCCACCTATGAATCTCTACTCCTCTTTAAACAAAATCCATATTGTAATTAAAAATTGTAATTACTATAAACTGTATATCAAAAAATATGCTCGCTTCGATTTAATTTACGGTTTATGAACCTTACTAAGGTTCAAATATTGTCATTTAAACTCAATTTTTAAGATGTTTTTGATTTTTTTACTTTAAAATGGTGAGGGGTAAGCTTTTTCGAAATAACGAAACATAAAATTAGTTTGAGATTATACTGCGACATCTCTCTGAATGGCGAAATCATAACTTTTGAATAATTTGAGAGCTCTAACTATCTTATTATGTTCAGGAGACTTGCTTTTTTAGAGGACCACTGTATAATAGTAGTACCGATTTTCTCTTCCAAACTCTTCCAAATCACTATAAAGGCCCACCGCGATCAGGCATCAGCATGCATGCTGCAAGTGTCTTTCACAGAGGGAGAAAGGCAATTTTTTCACCAATATTACTAATAAATTGCTATCAAACCAATTATCTTACACTAAATTTATATAACTGGTCTGTAACCTTTATTGAAGAGGCCCTTGTGAAAAACTAAAGAAAGACCTCTTTTTTGTATTGACAAACAGTTAAAGGGCTTAGGAAATTTGGCGACAAGCACATTAGACGACAATACAATAACCCATTTTGGACTATCACTTTTGTGAACTTAGACGATAAAAATCTGACCAACAAAATTTTTTTGTGCTGTCTGAAGTTACACAAAAACAAATAATAGTATATTATCCCAGAACTGATCAAAGCTTGTATTATAATTTAATTATAAGACGTTAAATCATAAAAAAGCAGTACAATTTTGAAATGCATAAATTGTATAATTGTGAACCTTGATAGTCTGATTTGTGCTTCGACAACAAGTGCCATTCAATCAAACTTTAATTTAAGACTGTAAACATTTTTCTCGCGAATTGCACGCAAGTCACCGTCTAATTTTAGTTACTTTCTAATTGTCTAATTTGCTCGTCGTCTAATTTCCTAAACCCCGTAGTTGATAATAGCTGATGAAAAATTGTTGGGTTGTTGGTTTTGTTCAAAAATTTAGTTTTTTTTCCGATTTGTTGCTTCCTTGTATTTTACGAGTTGCCTTTTGTAGCTAGTTGTTGTATTATACCGGTTTGGTATAACTCTTCTCGAACAACAATTTAGAAGCTGAGCCACACAATATTATGCAAAGCAATTAATCAGAAAGTGAATACTTAATAATCAGTCCACCCACCTATGAATCTCTACTCCTCTTTAAACAAAATCCATATTGTAATTAAAAATTGTAATTACTATAAACTGTATATCAAAAAAAAATACTCGCTTCGATTTAATTTACGGTTTATGAACCTTACTAAGGATCAAATATTGTCATTTAAACTCAATTTTTGAGATGTTTTTGAAATTTTTACTTTAAAATGGTGAGGGGTAAGGTTTTACGAAGTAACGAAACATAAATTTAATTTGAAATTATATTGCGACATCTATTTGAATGACGAAATCATAACTTTTGAATAATTTGAGAGCTCTAACTATCTTATTATGTTCAGGAGACTTGCTTTTTTAGAGGACCACTGTATAATAGTAGTACCGATTTTCTCTTCCAAACTCTTCCAAATCACTATAAAGGCCCACCGCGATCAGGCATCAGCATGCATGCTGCAAGTGTCTTTCACAGAGGGAGAAAGGCAATTTTTTCACCAATATTACTAATAAATTGCTATCAAACCAATTATCTTACACTAAATTTATATAACTGGTCTGTAACCTTTATTGAAGAGGCCCTTGTGAAAAACTAAAGAAAGATCTCTTTTTTTGTATTGACAAATAGTTAAAGGGCTTAGGAAATTTGGCGACAAGCACATTAGACGACAATTTATTAACTGATTTTAGACTATCACTTTTGTAAACTTAGACGATAAAAATCTGACCAACAAAATTTTTTTGTGCTGTCTGAAGTTACACAAAAACAAATAATAGTATATTATCCCAGAACTGATCAAAGCTTATATTATAATTTAATTATAAGACGTTAAATCATAAAAAAGCAGTACAATTTTGAAATGCATAAATTGTATAATTGTGACATTGATAGTCTGATTTGTGCTTCGACAACAAGTGCCACTCAATCAAATTTTAATTTAAGACTGTAAACAATTTTCTCGCGAATTGCACGCAAGTCATCGTCTAATTTTAGTTATTTTCTAATTGTCTAATTTGCTTGTCGTCTTATTTCGTAAACGCCGTAGTTGATAATAGCTGATGAAAAATTGATGGGCTGTTGGTTATATTTTGATCCTGAAACTTCGTTAAAAACAAATTGAATCAACTAAATTTGTACATTTTATCCACTTTTAACTAAAAATCAACTTCGAGTATAGTCCATGTAATTTGAGTAATGAATTGTCGATAGTTCGAGGCCCATTATGATCCGTGCTTGCTGCTTGAGGATACTAAAGCAACTTTAACCATATTCAGCTCAGAAATATAACCAAAAAAATTGCATGCATCTCTTAAGCAGGGGGCACAACAGTGGCTCTCCGTAAAGAGCTGAACAGCTTGTATGTTGTTTCATCACCTATAGCGGATAAAAGGTCGTGACTAAATCATATCTAAATTATTAGGCAACTGGTATTTGGGCAGACCCCTGTGTGTGGTGTGGCTGTGCTGCGACTACATGGCAACATCAACTTCAGTATTCGCACTCATCATGATCACATTCGACAGGTAAAACAGTTCACCATGCAACTTAAGAATTTTTTTTTTGCCAATTGAGTTGGATTTAATTCATTGCTTCGACAGGTGATTGACATCTGTAACTTAACTCTTCCCCCTAGCTAAATTGAATTGAAAAAGCAAAAAGTTTGTTACGAGAGTTTGACGTCAAAAAAATCAGCACTCAGTATCAGTTTAGATGGGCGATTTGATAGTGATCCCCCATTCTAATTTGATACTGAATTTTATAAGTTTTTTGGGGGTGGGGGGTCAGGTTTTGATTTTTCCCGGATCATGTTATTGAAATCAAATACTTAAGAAACAGTATATATATCCACCTTGTAATAGAATATTTTCCTTGCCATTTGAACAGATACTTGACAATAACGAGACTGCAAAGTCAGGACTCCCCCTCGAAGAAGGGGGCTGCTGTGGGCATGATCTGTGTGCTGTGGCTCATCCCCGCCCTCACCTACATCCCCATCACTGTCTTCTGGCCACTACTCGACTCCTCTTTCTCCGTCCAGGTACAATTCTACAATCGCATCCGCTCATCTATGAACAAAGTCAAATTTCACATAAATGAGTCATTTTTTCCTTGCTTTGTTTTCAGAGAAAAGTTTTAAAATATGTGCAATCCAAGTTTTTTTCTGGCGCTTTGATTTCTGCAATTTTTTAAATTGGGTTAGTTTTATCAATAATAAATTCATTTTCTTCTAGTATATTTCTTTCTAAATGAATCATGTTTTTTGAGTTGTTTAACAGCTTTCCAACTGTCTGCCTGTTTGTTATGCTTATTCGCTTGGCTATTCATCAGCTTATAGAATATCTGCTCCTTCACACTGTCTGTCTATCGCGCCATCTTTTTTTGACTGGATTGAGTCGTGTGACCTTGAAGTCCAAAAAACAAACTTAGTCATTTTACATTTTGGAAGTTTGCACTTTTGTAGAACTCAAATTAAAACAAATAATTAGTCAAGTTGATATAGAAAAAAGAATTAGTCAAGGTCCTGCTTGCTTCCCATGGTTGGTGTTCGCCTTTTTATGTAGAGGACCTTCGACTTATGTCTCAATTAGTCATACTTTAACACCTCACTTCTGAGACATTATGTTTTTCCTTTCACTCTGCTTTTTTGCAGCCATGTTTGCAAAACCGAAAACAACTTGGCTTCCCGTCACTTTTGCTCATAAGAACTTTCTCAATTTTGCTTTTTATCAGCTTTCCTCGTGTCATTTTCAAATTTTACCAGATATCTAATATCATGTGAGCTGTTGCTCTCTCTGCTGAATTTCGCAAGATTCACAATGTGTTTGAGCTCTTGGTACCCCTTTCAGCAAGATAGAAATAATCAGCCGCTCTCTTAAAGACCAATTTACTTTGTGTAGTTTTTCTTGCAAGTCTTCTGCTCTTGCAATGTAGTCTATACTATCGCAAACAAATTATAAGTGAAGTCGGTTTTTCGTTCAGGTTATGAAGCCTCATTGTTTAAACCTTATTAGGCGACCATAGAGAGCCTTCTTGGTCTTTGGGTCGTCCTTTTTATGTAAAAGCAAAAACAAAATTGACATGTGGTGTAAACACTACTGAAGCTCACATATTGTTTGCTTCCCATGAGCAAAAGTATCGTCCCCCTTTTGACAGCTTTTGCTGAGAATTCTACAAACTCTTGCTTAAAACTGCAGATGCAAACACCGATTCTTGAGTTTTTGCTGTTAACAACTTGCATAATTTAACAAGATGCATACGTGCCTCGAATTTTTCATTGACAATCACAAATTTTTTCTTCTATCCCCGAAAAATAAGGATTAGCTATCTTTTCATTAAACAATATTATCAGTGAACAAACTGAACGTTTTTGGTGGTGGCAGAATTTTAGAAATCAGATTACTCAATTATTTCCTGTTAACTTAAGAATTCAGCAAAACAGGGGCACAAACCATACACACCCGCATCCATGTTTAGGCGTAAATAATTGATTATAACGGATTTTTATGATGATTTTTTGACAATTATAATCGATTATAATTACCAAAATTAGGTCTTTAAGGGATTTATAATTGATTAATAATCGTGATATTTTCCAAGAGATTATAATCTCTTATAATCAATTATAATTGATTATAGTTCTTACTAAAAACCCTTAAAATCAATTATAATCGATTATAATCGATTATAATATCTTATTTTGCCGACATTTTCCTAAATTCGAATTATATCTTATGGGGTATTATTTTTGTGTCAATAAGAAAATCTCTCAAAGAGAGATCTCTTGAACACTTTGGTTCATCTGAACACAAAGTTTTACCACGAAACAAAAGTTTCATAGAGATCCCTTCATATGAGTGGAAAGGTTCTCGCGGTAGACGAAAAGTAAATTTTCCGAATCAATCATGAAACTAAATCAATTTGCTGATGTTTTGGTGTTTAAAAAAGCTTAAAATATGCACCACAAAACAACTCTAATGGGGAAGAAGTTTAAAAAAACTTAAAAATTTGATTTAATTGGAAAACTTTAAAAATGTTTTTCTCATTATTCATAGGAACCAACGTCCACAAAAAGAAGAAAATATAAGCAATTTAGATGGAATTTCGAAGACAAAAATGGACAAACAAAAAGCATTATAATCAATTATAATCGATAATAATGGATTTTTGTGCAAAACTAATGAAATAGAAATTTGAATAAAAATAATGGATTATAGCAGGGGCGGATTTAGGGGGTGGGGGCGGGGGGGGGGGGGCGGACCCCTTCCCTCAGGGATTCGACCCCCTGCCGACCCAAAGGGTCCCCCCTTTGGTACTTTTTAAGAAATCAATTTTTTACCGACCGACCCTAAAATTTTTCTAAAGGCGCCTTTGGCGCCAATATATACTAATTTTGAGAGGGGAGCGCGCGCCGAAAAAACGCGATTTTTTGGTTAAAATTCTCCAAAAAGTACCTCAAAACGCATTTTTTGGACTATTTTTCAAAATTTTGCCCTAGGCGCAGAAAATTTCACCAAAACAGGGACTGAACCGGGCTTAGGGAGAGCTCGAAAAATCATTTCGGTCGACCTAAAAAAAAGGTCGAAAAATTTTTCGAAAATTTATGAAAATCCGCCCCCCCCTGGATTATAGTCAATTTTAATCGATTATAATTGTATCGAAAAATAGACGAATAAATAATCAATTATAATTGATTATAATGGATTATAATTAATTATAATTTGATTTTAAAAAGGAAGATTATAATCGATTATTTATTGGTTAAAATTGATTGTTTCTCAGTTTTAGTGAGACTGGTACTAAAATCGTAATATAATCGATTATTAACGCTTGAAACTGGATGCGGGCATGAAAACATTAAATTTGTATAAATTGTTCACAAATAGTTACTGAAACTGTCCAATGACCAAGCGTCAAAATCTGGTTTCCCTTTTTTCAGTTTCCGTCTTTCAGCCCAAATATTACGAGCTCTTTTTTCCTCGTCGTTTTGATCGCAATCAAAATACCTTCACCCACAAATTTCTGTAGAAATCACGCAAACCCTGATCTGTTTTGCATCTTCGCAAACTCAGTTCACTGTTGACTTCTTCATTCATTATCTAGATCCAATGGGTTCCTTTCTTTGATGTTGCCCTTCCTCTTTTTTTTTAAATTAAAGAGCAGAGAAAGCGTGGACCTACAAAGTGTCAGAGTTCTTTCTTAAATTCAGTCATTTGTGCCAACTATGTTGGTTTCAATTTAAGCGGTAATTCTATCCTATAAAACAAATGACAACAATAATCATCATAAAAATCATGGAAGCTGAAATATAAAATCAATAGCCAGGAGACTCAGGTTTTAATACTTGCTTTAAGAATTTGTTTACGGTAATTTTCAGTGCCCAGAAATGAGTTTTGAGTGAATAGCCAAAAACAGTCATTTAAAAAAAATTTTGTAACTTTATTTTTTTCGAATCGTTTCTGATAGTAGGTTGAAAATTAACTCGTTATCATTAATAGTTGCCATCAACAGCACCTAAATTTGAAATTGCTGTTCAAAAGTAAAATTTGCACTTCATTTTTCCGCTATGACTTGTAAGTTTCTTGATTTAATAAATAAAACTAGAGAAGTCCCAGATTCGTATTATTTTAAACATTGTGCTCATGCTTATTTTTATTCTGACTGACTAGACCACAATCGAGTCTCCCCGGTACGAGGTGTTCAGTTCACTTTATATTTCGAACATTTGGACCAAAAATCGACATGTTTCGACCGTGCTCAACTGAAGTTCTGTGTGTTTCGAACGTGCTCGAGCGACAAATATGCTCAACTGTGCTTGACATAAGCAAGATATAATTCGACCGTGCTTGATCGAATTCAGGTATGTTTCGACTTCCAAACAACTTGAGTTATACAAAACTAAACGTTATAATTTACGCTTTTCGGGTACCATCTTATGATGTTTTTTTTTATCAAAATGAACTGATTAGAATTATTTGCAATCTAAATGCACAATCAAATATTAGCAAGCTTTTTCTCTATCTTTTGGAAAACTAGTTTGCAGTTTGAGTCGAAAATGTTAATTTTTCCTTGTGAATCCGAAGTACCGCGGGTCAATCAAAACTTTGCGACCGTGCTCGATAGTGCTCGAGGTGTGATTCTTCGACTGTGCTCGACCGTGCTCGAGTTATGCTTTGACTGTGCTCGAGGTATGTTTCGACCATGCTCGAAGTATGTTTCGACTGAAATTGAGCTATGTTTTAAGGCAAAATTGCGCAAATTGCTACAGTCGCACAAGGTCGCAACACAACCACTTTCAACGTAATGGTTGCTTTTTTCCCCATTTTGAATCACAATGGTCGCAACATGCTCATTTTGAGTCGCAATGGTTGAAACATAATCTTTTTGAGATGCGCAAAGTCGCAAAATGTTTTTTTTGGGTCGGGCAGAGTCGCTCAAACGTTTCGGTTGCGCAAAGTCCCAACTTACTCATTTTAAGTCGCTTTGGTCGCAACATACCTTTTTGAGTCGCACAAAGTCACAGCAATAATGTTTTGTCTCGTGCAAAGTCGCGTGAATTGCTTTGGTCGCGCAAAGCTGCAACATAATCATTTTCAGTCCCAATGGTCGCAGCATACCTGATTTGGGTCGCAATGGTCGCAGCATACCCATTTAGATTGCAATGGTTGCAACTTAATATTTTTGAGTTCAGCAATTTTGCAATATGTTTTTTTTGGACCGGATAAAGTCGTTTAAACATTTCGGTTGCGCAAAGTCGCAACATACTCATTTTGATTGCATTGGTCGCAACATACCTTTCAGGGTCGCACAAAGTCGCAGCATATCTGTTTTGGCTCGCGAAAAGTCGCGCAAATTGCTTCGGTCGCTCAAGGATACAGCATACACATTTTTAGTTGCAATGCAATGGTCGCAACATACCTTTTTTTGGGTCGAGCGATGTCGCAACATATCTGTTTTGGGTCGCCCGGGTGACTGTGCTCGACTTTGAATGTGAAAACACAAAGTGAGCACCTCGACCCGGGTCTCGAGCATTTTGACCCA